CAGGGTCGTTCTCAGGTGGCCGCGCTCCTCTCGCGGGCGCCTCCGGGCTCCGTCGGGTGCAGGCGGGAGGCGTAGACCGGACTTACGGACCGCTCCTGCAGCCGACCCTCCCCGCCCACCGCATCCTCCCAGGAGATTTTCCAACGGCTGGCAAGACCTCGCAGGTGGACCTCGCTGCCTGCAAGTGTCGAAATAGGAGAAGGCACGGGAATGCACAACCCGCCCGCTGTGTTTACTAACCGTAGGACACACACAGGCCTGCTGTGAAAGGTTGACACATATCCAGACGCTCACACAGGTCTGGGCCTGCGCGCAGCTGAGAGAAGCGTGGACAGTGCGTCACGCGTGGGTCACGGCTGGGGAGCGGCCGGCGGGCCGCCCTGCTGGGGACGCGCGGGGACCCTAGGCAAAGCCGCGAGGCCATCTGCCCTGCGCTCCCAGACTCCGTCCCTGGTCTGCCCCAGAAGATGAGCTCTCGGCTCGTACCCAGTGCGTTGTGCTCAGTGCAGGTTTGTCCAGCCTGCCGCAGGGGCCCAGGACAGCTAGTCCCGCAGCCCCACAACATCTTGTCATGTCCTGTGGTTTATAGCGTCTCTTTTCATGACCCTACGTGAGGCTACATTTTTGAGTTTCGCCTTCTCGCCTCATTCATGACCTCGCTTTTGGGCAGCACATTCCTTTGTGAGCAGCTGTTTTCAATGAAGCACAGAAAGAGCAAAATTTAAAAAACATTTCTGGCGAGCACCTTGAGTTCTCACTAAGAATCGCGACCTCCTCCATCGAACCAGACATTGATGGATTCGTTTTACAAAGACAAAGTCAACTTTCCTATTAGTTGTATATTGTTCTCATTTTTCTAAACTTGATATTAAATTTTAAAAAATAAATAGGTCTTCTGTATATACACTACCTATATTATATCATTATGAGCGACCCAAGGCAATTCTTGGTGCAGCCCAAGGAAGCCAAAGCTTGGACACTCTTGATTTAGTGCGATAATAGCTTAAACCTTGAATGACACCATGGAACCCATGGAGAGTGCCACAAGTAAGCTGGAGGTGCTCCCAAGAAGCAGATAAAAGTTTTAACATTCCAAGAACAAGTTGGATGCTCATATGTGCCCCAGACTGAGTTCTGCAGCTGAGGTTGCCCGCCATTTCAGGATAATGAATCCAGCTAAGGACTCTTGTATAAGAAGAAAAGGAAATGCACTTTCTGTGAAATACCTTTTCACCTCATTTTGAAAATACAACTTGTGTGTGGGTGGAGGATTGCTATGAGAAAGCCTTACCTTCAGAGTCTGATATGACTTGAGCAAAAGCAGCATCCTTATAAAAACTTAGAGCAAAAGGAAAGTGACTCTAAAGACTCTAAAGCTGGAGAAGTTCATGCCAGCATAGGATGACTTGGCAATCTTAGAGGAATGGCCTAAAAAAAAAAAAATCAACAGGAGAAGCAGCTTCTGCTGATGAGTTCCCAGACACTACTAAGAAAATCACTGAGCTGTGCTCACTTCGTCCACACATGTATTAAAATTGGAAAAATACAGAGAAGGTTAGCATGGCCCCGGTGCAAGGATGACACACAAATTCCTGAAATGTTCCATATTTTTTTAAAGGGGGGGGGTGCAGTGGTTCAAGCCTGTAAACCCAGCACTTTGGGAAGTCGAGGTGAGAGAATTGCCTGAGCTCAGCAGTTCGAGACCAGTCTGGGCAACTTGGTGAGACCTCTTTTCTACAATAAATCAAAAATAAGCCAGGTGTGGTAGTGTGCATCTGTAGTTCCAGCTACTTGGAAGGCTGAGGCTGAAGGATCACCTGAGCCCAGCAGGTCAAGGCTGTGCTGGCCATGAGCGTGCCACTGCACTCCAGCCTGGGCAACAGAATGAGACTTCAACTCCAAAAACAAAAACAAAAAAGTCATCGAGGAGAAAAGATATCTGCCTGAACAGGTTTTTAATGCAGTCCAAAGTGCCCTGTTCTGGGGAAAATGCCGCAAGGGACATGTGTCAGTAAGGAAGAGAAGCAAGCACTGGGTTAGAAGGTAGTAAGGAGTAGGCTGCCTCCACAGTGTTGTGCAAATGCAGTCAGATTTACAATCAGGACAGCCCTTACTGATGAACTGCTCTCCGATGTTTGTTGTACCACAGAAGGCCTGGATGAGAACCCTTTTTCTGGATTGGTTCCACTGATGCTTTTTTCTTTCTTTCTTTTTTTTTTTTTGAGTTGGACTCTCTGTCACCCAGCCTGGAGAGCAGTGGCACACTCACAGCCACTGCAGCCTTGACCTGCTGGGCTTAGGCAATCTATCCACATCAGCCTTCCAAGTAGCTGGAACTATAGACACATACCACACCTGACTAATTTTTCTGATTTATTATAGAGATGAGGTATCACCAGAGTGCCCGGGCTGGTCTTAAACCAACAGGCTCAGACAGTCCTCTTGCCTCAGCCTCCCAAAGTGCTGGGATTACAGGCTGAGCCACTGTGCCCAGCCCCAATGATGCTTTTTTCTAATGTCAGGAAGTACCTTGATAGTAAGGTTCTTTTGATATTGGACAATGTCCCTGGCCACCCAGAGCCCCATGAGTTCGATAACAAAGTCATCAAAGTGGCCTACTTGCCCTCAAACACAACACCTCTATCTAATTCAGCCTCTATATCAGTGTCATAAGATCAAAGTGTCATTACAGAAAATACTCTATAGAGAGGATTGTTAACTATGCAAGAGAACCCCGATAGGTCATCATGAATGTCTGGAAGAATTACATCATTGAAGATGCCATCACTATTATAGAAAAAAAGTATAAGCCATTAAGCTCAAAACAATACGTTTCTGCTAAAGAACACTGTACAAATGTTTTGCATGACTTCCCAGAATTTATGACAGAGCCAATCAAAGAAATCATGAAAGAGATTGTGGATATAGCAAAAAAAGTGGGGAGTGAAGGGTTTCAAGAGCTAATAGATACCACACCAGAGGAATTGAGAGTGCAGTACACAATACATGTAACATGCAATGCATGCTAATTGACTATATTATTAGTAAGGCTTCCAGTCAACAGTAGACTTCTCGTAGTAAAGTTTTGGAGGAGTCAAAAGTTAGATGCAGAATTTCAACTGCATGGGTGTGCCCCCAACGCTCATGTTGTTCTAGTGTCAGCACATACTTCTTCCTCCATACTTGGGTCCAATGCAGTAGCCTTTGTATTTCCTAATTTCACTTAATAAGTCCCAATCATCTTTTGATTTTTGTACATACTGTCTATATTCTGCCTCATTCATTTTGAATCCCACATAGTGTTCTTTTTAAGAGTGTTCCAAAAATTATTTTTTGTAATTAAACTACGGTTTGTCTGCGTTTGTTTGTACTGGGAAATAATGCATAATGGTTAAAAATGCCAACAAAAGGGAAAAATATTAAAAGTAAGAATCCCCCGCCTTTCCTATCTACCCATCTATGCACCTGGTACCATATCTTACACCCTACTACTTTGAGCAGTTTCTATTTTTAGTTCTTCTGGTTCTTTTCATTATAACTTTAAAGACTGTACTTATACCTCTTGATTTACCAATGGAAATCTTTCAAAAGGACAAAAATATATCTTCTTTTTCAACTTTAACTTCTAATTTAAATTTTGCATTACTTTTAGTTCTAGTAAAAGTTTTTGGGTTTTAGGTTGTTTACCTAAATCATTATTTATAAACTTTACACATTGACTGCCTGCTATGAGATAAGGAAATTTGTACATTTTTACTTTCTCTTGTCTTTTCTCCCCTTCCCCTTCTAATTTTGTTAGTTTTATTCTTATTTTATACTGTCAAGAATTTGCATTCTTTTCTGTAATTATAAGTACACTTGTCCCTCTGTATCCACGAGAGATTGTTTCTGGGACCTCTCACGGATACCAGAATCCACACATGCCCAATTCCCACAGTTGGCCCTGCGGACAACCTTCCCATCCTGAGAATACTGAATTTCCATCTACATTTGGTTTTGGAGGTGGAACCCACTGATATGCAGGGCCAACTCTATTGAAAAACATTTTCATTAAACGGGACCTGCACTGGTTCAGACCCATGTTGTTCAAGAGGCAATTGTACATCCTTCAAACCTTCTATTTGTAAAACAACCCACAGCATCCAGAATGTTAGGGCTGTGATGGATCTAACAGGGGCATAGCCCATGTGCCCCTGCGCTGAACATTGTTCTGTACAGTGAGCCAACTTTAGCTTCCAGCACCTGAAATTATTTGCCTACCAGTTTTTGTTTGTTTGTTTGTTTGTTTGTTTGTTTGTTTGGCTACCAGAGCCTGCTCTGCCTGTATTTGGGGAAGGCCTAAAATGCCATGGAATTAACAACTTCTGGGAGTTTGCTCAACTGATAGCAATGAGTGGATAAAGACCCCCACTCCCACACTCATGGAGGACAAGGAGGTAGCTTCAAGATGTGTTCTAAGGAGGTGATGCTCGATGCCGGGCACAAGCACCTATTGTGATGGGAGGTTTTCTGATGTCTGAAGAAGAAATGGGGCACTCCAGGCAGAAGTAACCAAACATGAAGGAGTGCAAGGCCACGGGCACAAGACAGTTTGTGCAGGGAGTAGCCAGTAGTGTGATGTGGACAGAGATGGGGAAGTGACCAGATTGTGAAGGACTTCATCCAGCAATCAAATGAGCTGAACTTTCATCCTGAAGGCATGAAATGATGTGCTAAACATAACTTAAAAAGCAGCATGTCATTCACCTATTTAGATTTCGAAGATTTCTCCAGAAGCAAGAGTGATGAATTGTGTGCAGTGACACTGGAACAAGGTCACTATTCCAATAGTCCACTGAAGGATTAAGAAGGGCCTCAACTGGAGTTTCAGAAGTGAACAAGTAAAGAAGAGGGATTTGAGAAACAATAATATTGGATGAGTTAGAGCTCACCAAACAAACAGGACCAAGATGATGCTCACATAAGGAGATGTATTATAAGGAACGGGCTCACAAGGTCGTTGGGGCTGGCAGTCCCCAGATCTGCAAGGTGAGTTGGCAAGCAAAGACACAGGAGAGCTGATGGCATAGTTCCTGTATAGAAGCAGCAGACTCAAGACCCAGGCGATGTCAATGTTTAATCTGAGGCCAAAGGCAAGAAAAAGCCGAAGTCCCAGTCTAAAGACTAGAAGTCAGGAAAGGTTACTCAGGGAAGGTCAGTGTTTTTGTTTTATTCAGGCCTTCAACTGGGCGGAGGAGGCTCACCCATATAAGGGAAGGCAGTTTGCTTTACTCAGTCTACCAATTTAAGTAGTCATTTCATCCCCCAAAACACAAACACACCCAGAATAATATTTGGCCAAATATCTAGGCATCCCATGGCCCAGTCAAGTTGACACATAAAATTAATCACTACAAATATGTTCCAGCAACTTAAAGTTTTCAA